TGAAACTGATAGATGAATTTAGATTAGGCAAAACTGTCGGTTATGATATGAAATTGTTTGCGTTGCTTTCTTGCTAGCTCTAGCTTTATGTCATTTTTAAGGTTCTGTCACGCAAGGTCGCTGTAGGTCAGGAACGCATTAATTTTTGTCAATCGTTTTTTCCGTGCGTTGAGAGTTGCTTTTGACAGGCGAAAGATTTCAAGCAATAATTGACGATTGTTGGTGGTACGGGACTGTTTTGAAGAAGGAATTGTTGGATCAGCAGTACATGAAGTCGCATTTTCAATCTCTAGTCGTTCTGTGGGACAACGGTGAAGAAGAACGTATGAGTCCGTGGGATCTGAATCCAATTGAGTCAAGAGGTATCTTCTGATAGATGCCATGGTGAGTCACGTGGGAACTTACACTGCAGTTTCAGACGTAATAAGCAACGGCAACAGCGCTCCTGCATCCGCGGAGGACATGTCTTCTCTCAGCGTGTACCGTAGCAAATCAGACGAGTGGCCCAGTCACGGAATTGATGTAGAATGTCAACGCCTGTTAACTGGCATTGATAAAATAATGGAATTTCCATTTGCGGAGCCATTCACTGCCCCCGTTGATCTGAACGCCTATCCGTTTTACTGTTTTTACATAGAGTATCCATCTGATTTGAGTACTATACGATCTCGGATCCAAAATCGCTTCTATCGGTATTATGCTAATGTTAAATATGCTGTCGGTCCGACGTAAAGTTATTCATTGCAGGCGCATCGATGCAATTAAATACGACGTGCGTTATATCGCCAGAAACGCAGTCATATTCAACCAACCTCAGAGTCAAATAGTGAAACAAGCCCGTTGCCTCACAGAAATTCTGTTGAAGTATATCGAGTACGTGTTATTACGATTTGTGTTCATTTTGCTGTCACCTTTATGTTTTTGTGTTGTTAATGGCTGCGTAAAAGGTGTTGCAGTTAGACCTGTCCTGATTTTTCAGCTTTCTCTACTCTTGTTATATAATCAACTTTCTGCCTTGTTTAATGCTAGAGCGTCAAACTCACTGTCGAACGACCATGAGTTCAAGTACAGGTCAGATCATTTGTCTTTATGCTTTTGAGGTTGGTAAATGTGTACCATTTAGTTGGAAAGCAAGCAGGAGACTACACTTTATACGTCCCACATCAGTCTAAATAAAGCAATCCTGGTTGGTGGAATAGAAATGTAGACCAGCGCTACACCAGATGCTCCACCAGAAAAAGTGTTCCATATGATAATTATCATGAAATTGTAAGATATCAGAAATCATAGCATATGTATACTTTCGTTTTCATCTTTCATGTAGTCAAGATCAGATATGAGGCAAGTTCGAATGAAGCTTTCTTCAATATTCACGTTTTTACACTGAATCATCTGGTAGAAGGAGCTGAGGAACACGCCTCCTTTATGCAATACCGTCGTCGATTATCGAAACGAATTCGACTACGTCGAGTCTATTACTGTAATGCAAACTGTACCGAATAGAGAATCGACAAAATTCATTTAACTATGAAAGCAAACCAGCATGTGTCACTCGCTCAACGGATGTAATATTCTTTTATATCTCTTCATCGGCCAGTCGAGAAAGGCGTAAATAAGGGAGATGCGCCGAAGTTGTTGCCTGTTTCGTGATTGTTTAAATGGTGGTTTAATTGATGGTTTAATTTAAACGTTGAAGGGGTTTT